TCCCAGCTCCTGGGAAGCCTGAGACAGGATGATCATTGGAACCTGGGAGGTGGAGGCTGTAGTGAGCTGAGATCACGCCACTGTACTCCAGCCTGGGTGACAGAGCGAGACTCTGTCTAAAAAAAAGAGTCCCAGTCAACCCCAGAATTATTACAGCCAAAATATTACAGCCAAAAGGGGTCCCAAAAATATTACAGCCGAAAGGGGAGCTTAAGCCATACCCAGGATAAGGAAGAATTTAGACTGTGCAGCCAGACTAGGCATGGTGGCTCAAACCTCTAATTCCAGCACTTTGGGAAGCTGGAGCAGGAGAATTACTTGAGGCCAGGAGTTCAAGACCGGCCTGAGTAACACAGCAAGAACCTGTCTATACACATATGGCCAGGCGCGTTGACTCACACCTGTAATCCCAGCACTTTGGGAGGCCAAGGCAGGTCAGGAATTTGAGCCCAGCCTGGCCAACATGATGAAACCCTGTCTTTACTAAAATTTCAAAAAAATTAACAAAGCATAGTGGTGGGCGCATGTAATCCCAGCTACTGGGAGACTGAGGCAAGAGAATCACTTGAACCCAGGAGGCGGAGGTTGCAGTGAGCCAAGATCGTGCCGCTGCACTCCAGTCTGGGCGACAGAGTGAGACTCCATCTCAAAAAATAAAAAAAATTAGCCAGGTGTAGCGGTGGGTACCTGTAATCCCAGGGACTCAAGAGGCTGAGGCACAAGAATTGCCTGAACCTGGGAGGCAGAGGTTACAATGAGCTTCGATCATGCCATAGCACTCCAGCCTGGATGACAGTGAGACTCTGTCACGAAAAAAAAAAAAAAAAAGCCTTGCAGTGGCTCACACCTGTAATCCCAACATTTTGGGAGGCCAAGGTGGACAGACAGCTCGAGCCCAGGAGTTCAAGACCAGCCTAGGCAACGTGGTGAAAGCCAGTCTCTACAAAAAACACAAAAATTAGCCAGGTGTGGTGGTGTGGCCTGTAGTTCCAGCTACTTGGAGCGCTCAAGCAGGTAGATCTGTTGAGCCTGGGAGGTAGAGGCAGCAGTGAGCCGTGCTCGTACCACAGCATTCCAGTTTGGGTGAAGGAGCGACACTCTGCCTCAAAAATAATTTTAAAAAGAGTTACAGCCTAGAAGGTGGCAATCCTGATGGCTGAGCAGCATTCTCCCACAGAGCACAAAAACAGGCACTTCAAGAGAGGATAGAACAGGGATCTATGCTGAACAGGTTGGCCAAGTATATCAATTTAACAGGTTATAGGAGGAGCTAGGAATATGCACAAAGTGGGGAAGGTCATGCACATGCAGGCTGAATAACATGTATGTTACATATTGTCCGTGTTCACCTGGGGGTGGAGACCTAACATCTAAATGCATTAAAATTAGGCCCTGCAGTCAGGTGGTGAAGCAGGGATAGGAAAGCACTCAAGTGCACACCTCTGTAAACTGGCCACAACCAGTTCATGGTTAGAGCTCTAGTCAGGAGAAAGTTACTGAAATCAGCCTCTTGTCCAATCAAAGCTGTAGTTATGGCTTATGGAACAGGGGAGTGAGGGTCAGCTAGTCAGGGTCTAGCAGGGATGAACTGCAGTTATCTTAATATTGCTTACCTGGAGGCCACTGCTTGCTGAGCTGCTAGATAAAAAGGAACACCTTGAGCAGTAGAACCGTGTTTATTAAAGTGTAGGGGGTGCTTTACTTAACCTTTGCCTGGCATGGCCCTACATCTTGTTTATAGTTTGGTATTTTATTGCCACAAAGAGTCTGTTCCCTCAGTCTTTTTTTTTTTGAGATGGAGTTTTGTTCTTGTTGCCCAGGCTGGAGTGCAGTGGCGCGATCTCGGCTCACTGCATCCTCCGCCTCCCGGGTTCAGGCGATTGTCCTGCCTCAGCCTCCTGAGTAGCTGGGACTACCGGTATGTACCACCACGTCCAGCTAATTATTGTATTTTTAGTAGAGACGTGGTTTCACCATGTTGGCCAGGATGGACTCGATCTCTTGACCTCATGATCCACCCGCCTCAGGATCCCAAAGTGTTGGAATTACAGGTGTGAGCCACAGCGTCCAGCCTGTTCCCTCAGTGTTAAGATCTCTATATTAACATTAATGCTGGTTAGTTGCTGTATTTAAGCCACAAAAGGGAGTGGGTATAATGAGGCATGTCAGACCTCCCATCCCATCCTGGCTGGGAACTCAGTTTTTAAGACTGCCTGGGATCCCGTTAGCCAAGAGAGGGTCTACTCAGTCAGCTGGCAGTCTTAGGATTTCAGAGTTAGCCCTCAAAAGAAAGGAATGGATCATTACTACTTGATATTAATAGCGATAAAAATGATCACTTAAGCAACAAGAGAACTATGAGATATTCATTATTAACACAAAACACAAAATCATTACATGATTAACTCAAAATGGATCAAAGACCTAAACATAAGAGCTAAAACTATACAACTCTTAGAGGAAAACCTTCTAAGGTTTTCCTTAGAAGGAGCTGGTGATTAGTTCTTGGCTATGACATTAAAAAAAAACCCACAGGCAACAAATGAAAAAAAACAGATAAACCGGACTTCAAAATTAAGAACTTTTGTGCATCAAAGGACACTATCAATAGAGTAAAAAGGCAACCCTATAGGATGGCAGAGAAGTGTTTGCAAATCACATGTCTGATAACGGGTTAATATTCAGAATATATAAAGAACTCCTAAAGCTCAATTAACAAAAATCAAGCAACCCAATACAAAAACAAGCAAAGAACAGATATTTCTCCAAAGAAGATGTATATATAGTGAATAACCACATGAAACAATGCTGAACTTCACTAATCATTAGGGAAATGCAAATCAAACCCACCATGAGGTATCATTTCACACCCATTTAAAAAAAAAAAGAAAAACAGAAAACAATGTGTGTTGGTGAAGATGTGGAAGAACCGGAAATCTGGCTTGTTGCTAGTGGGAATATAAAATGGTACAGCCTCTGTGGAAAATGGTATGGCAGCTCCTCAAAAAATTAAACACAGAATTACCATATGATCCAGCAATTCTACGTCTGAATTGAAAGCAGAAACTCTTAACAGGTATTTGTACACCCATGATCACAGCAGCATCATTCACAATAGCCAAAAAGTAGAAACAACCCAGGTTAATTGATGAAGGAATAGATAAGCAAAACATGGTACTCACAACAAGAAAGTATTATTCAGCCTTGACAACTTCTGGGCCAGGCACGGTGGCTCGTGCCTGTAATCCTAGCACTTTGGGAAGCCAAGGTGGATGCATCACTTTCGGCCAGGAGTTCAAGACGAGCCTGGACAACATAGTGAAACCCCATCTCTACAAAAAATACAAAAATTAGGCCAGGCACAGTGACTCACACCTGTAATCCCAGCACTTGGGAGGCCAAGGCAGGCAGATCACCTGAGGTCAGGAGTTCAAGACCAGCCTGGCCAATATGGTGAAACCCCAAGATCACGCCATTACTCTCCAGCCTGGGCAACAGAGCAAGACTCTTTGTCCAAAAAAAAAAAAAAAA